TTTAAAAGCATCCGTGAAGTGAAATATGCGACGGGAAACGGAAGACAAGAAGGTCACAAAGTATAATCAAGAAAAAATTATTATACGCAAAAAAAAAATATTTATGAAACATATCAAAGCATCTAATATGTTTTCAATTCAGAGTGTAGGTATACCTGAAGAGAAGATCTACACATTTTACCAACATCTCAAAAACTCTTTGATACATGTTATATACATTTAGCTTATATAAAAGAAGTAAAATAAAACAAAAGAATCGTTGTTTTACAGTGATTGTTATATAAACTGTCGGAAATGAAAAAATTAAAGCAGAATTTTTTATATAGTTCAATAGAGTGTGACAAATTGATCAAGATGATATGTGTTGTCAGAAATAGGTTTTTAGGTAAAAAGTTCAACTTTCTCCCAATGACTTAATTTTTCTGAAAAAGATGAATACAAGAATGTTGAAACAAAATTTTCAAGCCTCTTTTCTCATCCAATCTAAATTCTTATTTTTGTCTTTATTAATGGTTGTGGATATTCACATATATCTCAGTAGTTCAAGGTTTCTAATGTCGAATATACTATCATTAATTGCGTTTTATATACTTTCTAAGGATTTTACAAGGTTTTTTTCTGAAAAATTCATGATCCAAAGAAGCTTTTGAAAGTTACAGTCGTCAAAATCTTTTTAGACCCAGCATAAATTTGTAATATGAAGAATATTTCCCACATACATCGGCAAATATGCGTTAGTAATCGTTGAACATTCAGTCAATCAAGGTTTCTCATAGGGAAGGAAATGTTGGTTCTTAAGGTTATAATTGATTTTACATTATTCGCTAAATAGGTTTTTTGCAATTTTTTACTGTCTTTACTGAACAGATTTTTCAGACTTTGGACATGCTACAGAGCTCAGATTGGTTTTAAACTGAAGAGCAAATCATGCTGTGCAATTTAACAGTCGAAGTTTTTCTGTAAAATTACTCCTATTTTTTGAACGTTTTTAGGAAAAAATTTCAACAGAAATAATACATCAAACTTTTCAAAAAATCAGATCTTCTTAAGTATTAACCGTCGGTTTTAGCTAGATTTTAAAATGAAATCAAAATCGATATCATTCGAGTTGGAGGAGAAAGTCCTTGAAACATGAAAACCGACTTTTGGATGATTGATATGATAATAAATATTGAACACTCAGACAGAAGACTATTTTAATGCATTAAAATGTGGCATTTTTACACTGAAAAAACGTTATTTGAAAAAAAAATGCAAGTTTATGGGAACTGTCGTTGTTTTACTGCCAACTAATCATACATAGACACACAGTTTCTGGAAGTTTAGGTCAAATCTTTTGCTCCGTGACAAAACTAGATTTCAGAGTCGATAAAGGGTAGCTGAAGCCATTAAATACCAACTATTTGTAAAGATTTTTTGGTTATCCAACTTTTGGTCACAAAATATTTGTTTCATGAACAAAACGCTACACTATGTTTTCTGACTGAAAAAAGTACTAGTCATTATTTCATGCTATTATTTATTCATTTTGTTTTTAGTAGTCACTATTGTAGAAGAATAACAAAATAATAACTATACACTATATACAAATATTAATCGGATTAAGTTTTTCTCGTATCTGTTGACCAAACGTTTCGATAAGTTGTTTTTTCACTTATTAAGCTTATCAATAGTAGAATTAGCTAGTTTTATTTTTTGAAGTGGCTGTTTACAAGAAATAAAAAACTGCCAGCGCAATTTCTACTCGATTCAAATATGAAACACGCTGTAGTTGTTGTTGTTGATAATTATAGGAAGGCTAATTTATTCTATACATTTGGGAACATATTTCTTTACCATTCTCTTTTGTTTCATCTTCGAGAAATGCAATAATGAAGTACCTCATGTATTATAACGAGATATTACTGATATATAAACGTTCTTTGATTGTATATCAACACTGTCTATGATAATCTGTGATGGATAGCTAAGATGTCTGTCATAGTTCATAGAGAGGAAGAGGGGCAATATTTCTACCTCTATAGTTCACCACTCATTTCTAATATATACTATCAAGAAGTAATGCAACATTTTGTTCATGCGATAAAAAGTCATAGAACCAAAAGTTTACGAAATATGATTTAGACGAATTATTGCAGTATAGGCTGAAAGATTTGTCTTCTTTCACAGATTCATACATTCATAACCATGAAATATAAATGTCTTATGCCCTACGTCTTTCTTATCAATAGAAAAATGTATTTAGAAATCAATTGATTTATTATGAAATGAAATCGACCAAAAACAAAAAGACAATCACATGTAAATAATGAATAGATAAATTTTCTTTTTATTATAGTTCTAAACGAAAATCATATTTTGATCTGATAATTTGTCGTAAACTTTGTTTGATATTATCAGATAAATTACAATTCTGCATCCAAAGTTCTCTTAATGAATGATTTCGTTTGAGCATGTAATTAAGAGATTCAAAACTTGAATTACTTATTGATTTATTTTTAGAAAGATGTAAAACTTGAAGAGTTTGATTACCATGAGTGAGTGCATCAGTTAATAATCGAACACCTTGATCAGTAATTTCATTAAAAACAAGTCCTAATACAATCAATGATTGATTTTTTTTGAGCATTTGAGCAAGATATTGTATACCATTGTCTGTAATATTATTAGAACCAATACCAAGTATTTTTAAATTAGAATTATTTGTTGATAAAACTTTAGATAAATGACGCACTCCTAAATCAGATAAATTATTGTGATAGAGCATTAATGCTTCTAATGTTATATTATTATTCAGACTATTAGCAATTGTTATTGCACCTTGTGATGTTATTATATTATTTTCTAATGAAAGTTTTTTACATTGTTTATTGATGATTGCTTGTTGTACAATAATATCCATGTCTTGATCAGTTAAATTTTGTTGATTTAAATTTATGTCTGAATACATTGCATATTTTTTAATAAGATCTTCAAGGTTTTTATTTTGATACGATATTGTTGTTATTGTCGATAATGTTGAAGGTATAATAAGTGAACATGAAATAAAAGGAAATGGTGGTTGAATTTCTTTAATTTGAATAATATAAAGATCATTGCCAGAATCAAGATTACCAATAACTTGAAATTGTCTTGCAGCAATAAGTAGAATTTCATTTTCTGTTGGAAACATTGAATGATTATGAATATCTTTTCCAGTATTACATTCAATTGTAAATAATGTTCGTTTGCCAGTTTTACCGAAAAATTCTTCATTTTCTAAAACACTTATATGAGTTGTACATGATGAAAATGTCCACCAAACAAATATTTTATCTATTGGATAATCATTTCTTAAATCCATTTTTATTCCACGATAAATAGTTTTTCCTAGAAAAGATGGAAGTTTTGAAAGAGAATGAATAAATAATCGTAAATAAAGAAACCATGGTTTTAATAATTGACGATTTTCTGAACGAAGAGTTTTATTTAGAATAAAATAAAATGAATTATCTCGTAATGACCATTCCATTGAATAAAGCATTATTGAAGCTGATTCATCAGAAGTAAGATCATCTTTAGGATTAGTACAATTTTGTTTAACTATATAAACCATTTGATCAATATCAGGTACAATTGAAATTAGAGATTCAACAGCTTTTTCTAATGAGACAAGTTCGAGATTTTCAAATCCTTTTATTGGTGGTAACATCCGTTTTGGTTCTTTGACCATATCCGATAATCGAGTATTATGTTGTTTTAGTTGATCAAAATGATTTGAAGCCATTTTATTCAATCTAAACACGAAATTCATTATTATACATCAGTTCTAATAACACAAATCGAAAGAAAATAATTTGATCAACTAAATAATTAAATTTGAAAAATTTGTCTTTTATATTTTAAAATTCTTTGTGTTCTTTCAAACATTTTTTTTCTGCATTTTGGCATGGCATAACATATATGTCTCTTTTTGATTTTATAAAGTTGCACCACTTCGTTGTCATGCAATTGTAATGAAAACTCAAAAATAATGTACTGAAATTAGATGTCGCTTATTTTAAAAAATCTATTTATTCTGCAAATTATCTAAAGAATTTAAAAGATTAATCAAATATTAATCATGAAGTAGTATCGATTGTTATGTTTTACTTTAAAGATAACAGTTAGATGACTGATATGCATACGTTTTCGAATATAATAGTGCATTAAAATTCATATTAAGAAACACTTCTTTCATAAGTAGCTAATGTTGTTAACATTGTTCTTATAGGCATTATCATTCAGAAATCATTGGAAAATCGAGATACATTAGAAATTACTGTGATTTCAACTTCAGTATAATTTTATAATAGATTATTTTAGATTCATTAAATATCATTTATTTGATTAGAAAACGATCTTAAAAATTTCGAAACTAAAAACTTTTCAGAATGAGCTAAACCTACCACGGCCGCCGCCAATACTTGATTAATCTCTCAAAAATTGCAGAATCATTAATGAGTCACCAGCAAGTGACCAAGAAACTCTAAGTGAGTCCTCACAATAAATGAAATTCCCAGGGACTTAGTAGTCGTTTTCCATGATGTTTCCAGCTAGTCTTTACTTTAAGGAGTTGACGATATATTTTTAAAGTTTCTAGTAACTTTCTAATAAATTTATATGTGAACGCAACCCCACACTCACTATTTCGCGAAAAAAGTGAAACCTTTTTTTTATGTATGAAGAAACTTTCAATGGGCAAGAATGGAAAACAAACTCGAACTACTCTATAAAAGAATATAGAAGTTAATTTTAGCATTCATTAGATTTACACAAACTTATTACCTTATTGATGGAAACTATTGAAGCTGACTTTCAGATCCGCAGCAAACCTTCTGTAAACTTTCTCGCAAATCTCTGATATGATTCCACAAGGAGTTATCTTAGACAGACCCTCGAAAGTATTTCTTTTCTGTTCAAGTCTTTTTTCATAGTTCTCATTGCTATTTATAAATTACAGGAAAAAAAAACACGTTTAGTTAATCACTAGGATAACGAGTACCATTAATCGTCCATGATATTGGTGTAAATGTTTTAATTAATGCTTGCAAACGTGTGAGATGCTGTTCTTCAAGCATCTGATCGACTCTATCTAAGTTATTTAGAATTGCATAACTTGCCACTACACCACCTGCTTGACCATTAGAAAATTCAACTGGATGTAAACGTGTCGCTGAATTAACAAGAAATGTCTGTGCCATTGTTTTACCAATAACAATTAAATTATCAATATCTCGATTCGTCATTGCACGTAAAGGAATATAATATGGAAGAATAGAATAATTTTGTCGAATATATGAAGGATACTGACATAATTTCATTCTATGAATATCAACATCATATGCACCAAGACATATACGATCATGAAATATATATCCGTGTAAATCAGATGCACTTCCATTTATTGTTGAAATATTCATAAGAAAATTATTTATTCCAATTGAACGACGTGATTCACGTAAATAAGGCATTTTAGCTAAACCATGACAAGTACCTGTCCATGATGATGAATTAAGGAAAACAGTTCGATTAGCCCATTCGATTGGTGCATTTGCACGAAACCAATAATGCCAACCATATGATTGTTCTTCACCGTCTTTTAATGCTTCTAAACTAACTCCACCTCTTCATATACCAATATCACGATGACGTTTTGCTTCAATTGGTGATAAGAAAAAAAATTTTCTTCCATAATCATTTCCTCTCACACGATTTTGAATAATTGTATCATTAATAGCAATAATATTTATATCAGTTGATGATGTATTAATACGTCGATAAGTCCATGCACGTTCCCATGGATGACCTAATAATGAATATTGACCACCACCACTTGGTTCAGGTAACGGATTAGGTGGTTCATCTGTAGGTTTTTCTTGAAGTTGTTCAAGAAAATCTATAGTAAACATTTGACCACATGACCAATTTCCATTACCAGATATATCACCATCAAATTTTTCCATAATACCTTGAAGAAAACTTGCATTAGATAAAACTAATACTTCACCCCATGAACTTCCTTCAATAACATATGACATGTTAATAAATGATAATTTAGTTTTATTAAACCATGAACTATTATCATATAAATACCAATCAGGTAATTCTTCGGATAATAAACGACATCGATTTTGTTTTTCATTTGAAGTTCTTTGAATAGCATCTATTTTTATAATACGACGATCACTTTTATCTCTATCAATATGTTTAATAACAGTGTTATAAAAGATTCGAAGATTTTTTATTAAAGGTAACACAACTTGAGCATGAAATTGATTAGGTATAGAACAAATAGGTGATACAGAACAAAGACCAGTATTTCCAAGTATATTTAGCATTTTTGTAAATAAAGGATTTCGATTTTCTAATTGAAGATTAATACCTCCAACATCAAGTGTAAATCCACTACTATCTGTTAATTTATAACCAGCAAAATCAGGTGCACTTAATAATTCACTTGTCATTTGTCCACCAGCCCAATCTGTTGGTTCAATTAAACATACGTGTTTATCAAGTAATTTTGAAGCAGAAAGAACTGCACCTAATGCTGCAGTTGATCCACCAACAATTACTAATTGACAATCATCTATGATGCGAACAGATGCATCGATTGAAAAGATAAGCAATGAGAGAAGAACAAAAATAAACATATTTATCAATAGTTTAGAAAAATCTATGAAGAAAAAGTAAACTTCTCATATTGTACTTGTATTATTTTTCATATCTTACATGATAATTGTCTTTGTTTCGAAAGAATGCGAAGAAATGTTGCTGTTCTTTTTCTAATCATCGTTGTTTTTATTTATCAAGTGTGATAATGGAGTAACAAGAATAGGTAGGCGGAAAGTTTTGAGATAAAATTTTTGTTTTTTTCGACTGTCTTGAAAATATTTGTAATTAGTCAAAGGTTGCGGTTGAGAAAGTCAATTTTGAACTCTTTTCGAGCATTGATGTTGAAAAGTCGCTTCACGTGGAAACGTTTTGAATTAACCAATCGCTTTTGAATTCGATCTCTCTACATAAAATTCACTCAAGTGAGATATTAAAAACTACAAAATGACATATCTTCTCAGTAATTCTGTCTCAAATTATAAGTATTTTACTAGAATTTTAGCTTCCAGAGTGTCATACATCATGACAAAGACTAAAATTCTAGTAATATACCTATATTCTGAACAGAAGGGCTAAGGGAACTGACTCTTTAGGGGACTTGTGTATTTTACTGAACTCTTTCCCGATACACAGCATTCGAATTTAAAAGCGACTGTTCAGTTGAAAACGTTCGCTCGTCAGCTTTCGTTCAAGACTAATGATGTAATATATAAAACGCTAAAAAAAACTATTTTCGACGGAACATATGGCTCAAAGTTTCCGGTACTAATGATTGTCCATTTTAGCCTGCGTGAAAGTATAACAGACAAGCTAAAATCATAGGTAATGATCAAGATTTCGTGGTCTCTTTGTAAATAGGATTAGAAATATCGTGTCTACTTTTATCTAAGAACAGTAAGAGCATTTTTTTTATTGCGTTAAAGATCAGATCGTATAATGAATCGATAGGTTGTAGCTAACTCTTAAAAGAATTTTTTCGAAAGTATTCAACTTTATCAGAGCTAGTCATTTTGGCGAGCAGACACTTTGTGAAATGTTATATTACACTAAGCTAGAGTTTTTATTTAAGTGAAGCTGTAAGCACTCTTTTCTTTCCAAACAATTCTTTTGGACCTTTCAAATTTTACTTCATTAATCTCGAACAGAAACTGAGACAACTTTTCAAAGTCAACATTTGGAAAGAGTTTTAATTTCTATCTCTAGCCAGTAGCTTTTGACTCATCGCAAACATTCTCAAGAGATTCAAAAATAAACAAACATTTTGTCTCAACACTTTTGATTGACTCGTCAACTAACCTTATTAGTTTTGTCTTTTGTTCGAAAAAAGAGAAAAAAAACATTAAGTTAGATATTTTATATTTGTTAACGAGTTCAAAAAAATCAAATACAAACGCAATATATATCTCAATAATTTATTGATTTACTAAACCCAATGTAGCTGTAAAACAACTGTATCTTAAGTAGTAACTGAGTGATTGTATATGACAAATTTATCCAATGATATTTGATATTTTATCATTATTTTGTTTTAGCTCTAGCAATAGTTAAATGTAATAAATTGACGCAACAATTTATGAATTATATAATACTTATATATAATTATAACACAATATATATTTATTTGTGATTATTAGTTGTGATAAAAATCACTTTCTCTTTTTATTGTGTTTTCATCAGAATTCGATTGTAGACCGGATAAAGATATCAAGAGCATGTCAGCTCAAATAGTCTTTAATCATTCTTCTTCTGTTCTCTACCAAATTTTAGCAATAATAGAAACAAAAGACTCATGTGCTTAATTTGTATAATACAAAAAGTATGATTGCCATTCGTTCCTTAAAACATTTGAATAATTGTTTTTATCGATTATCCCTAGCTCACAAGTTTTATATTAACAAATATGAATGTTGATCTTCTCTTCACTAACATTCCACACTCACACATTCACTATTCCACATTAGAGCCCGTCGAGTCCAAAAGTTTGGGATCCAGGACCAGTCGAACCGTACTTTGACACTCTCAATAAGTCTTTTTAATAGAATTGAATGGCTGTCTAGAAGATACGAGATAATTTTTAAGCAACGAACACAACAACTTTCTTCGTGGAAGAAAACGCAAAAGTGTTTGAATTTGAAAGAAAATTCAATATCCATAAATGTAACACTCTAAGACTCAATGAATTTCGTGAACTAGTAAAAACAATTCTAGTTCAATACAACTACAGCAGTGAAATTAAGAATATTATTTTCAATAGCATCGCTGCAGTGGAAAGTTTTTTTTCATAGTGCATTATAGCGTACAAGTTTTTTCGTTTCATCGTCATGACTCAGTAGAAACAAACTTTCAGCTGTGACGAACATCTCTATTTGATAGGTTATTTTTACGGTAGTAATTTTTTTGATCACCAGAAAAAGATACTTTTGGTCATCAAACATTTTTAGATACAAATGATCACCAAATTTTTTAGAATGCATCTCATATTTTTATTTCTCAACAAAGTAAAATATAATGTACAACATAAACAATATTCATTGAAATATTAACAAAGTAAACAATATTCTTATTTTTGTTAATATATATTTTAATTTGCTTGATGACACTGGCATGACTGCATGATCAATTGAGAGCGACGAACGAATTTGAGATTCTGTTATATCAGCACGAACATATTGTGAAACAGATTGTCACAGTAGAGATGGTAAACGAAATGTTTGGTTACGGTCGCTATGATTGTGAGTATTTTTGAACATTACCGTAATTGAGGTAGGATTATCATCAGGTACAACTGCTATGAGTTCATAACTACACGATGAATATTTACGATATTAACTACATTTAAATGAGTATTTTGCATGATCTTTAAGATTATTTGTTCGATATTGACACACATTATGTGATTTAGCTACAGCTTTAACATCATCAAGTGAATTAACTACACATAGCAGAATCCAATTTGATTTTGACATTTTTAAAAGCGAAAAACTTTAAAGTATTTATATATACGAAAAGCAGCAACAGGAAAGGTATGAGCAAATGCGAGTGATATGATGACAAAAATAGATAATGAAATGTAAGTACATGACGAACAATCAAGATTTGATGAAGAATCACACCTCTCTAAAACATTTGGTGATCAAAAATATCTTTTCTTGATGATCAGCTGTATCTAAAGATATTTGGTGATCAAAAGTATTTTTTTTGGTGATCAAAAATATAATTACTCTTATTTTTATATCCATGAACGCGTTTCACACTTGATGAATTTCAAAAGGAGAAAATTTCTAGGCACATTATTTTTTCATTCCGGAAAATCGCATCATTAATATTTTTTGAAATGTAATTTAAAAAAAAATAACACATCCATTAACTATTGAAAAACGGTACTGTTTGTGGAAATTTTCTCATTGTTTTAACCAAAATATATACATCTACATTACTATTCAGTTCATTAACGTTTTTTTTTGTTTTTATTTATTGGAAAATTTTCTTCTGGGTAAATTGCAAGAATTCCTTATAATTTTATAGCTAATACTTTAGTATATTGCAAGAAAATCGCACCAATGAGCAGAGTTTTCAACATTGTTTTTATGATTTTTCTACTGAGTACTAATAAGCATCTGTTGTCTTAAACCACTCAGAAAAAACTAATTAAAGTTAGTGATCAAATTTCAAATTACTTTTCTTTTTTTCTTAAATTAAATAAAAACAGAGTTGACTATATAAAAGCAACAGTTTTTTCATCACTTTCTATCGACTTTTTTTTGTTGAAAAAGTAAGACTCTTAGAGTAAATAGAGTATTGTTTTTAGTCTTTTAATCATTATCATGCGTTGGACAATTGCACTCATATTCGTAACCTATTTGATGACAGTTCATGCACAAACATGGGCTGGAAGCTACACAATTGAATCAGGTTGCGATACCAGTCAATGTTGCTGTTTGAGCAACCAAATCGTAATAACTCGCCCCTCATCAAATTTAATATTTTTCAACACAAGTTTAATTGGTATGTGTCTCGGGCAAACCAGTTATAGTGGTACTAGTGATTATCCAAGTGGTTATTCAATTACAGTGTCAGTTAGTATCGTTACATTAACGATTACATTAAGTGGCGATAGTAACAGTATCACTATCGATAGTTCATTGGGCCCATCGTGCGGTGTACAAGCTACTCGAGATGACACTGCTACTGAATTTACTACTGAAACAACTGTCACTGTTAGTAGCAATGATGGTGTTCGAAAATATATTAACACTTTCATGTTTCTTAGTTTAACTTTTTTTTATTTATTGTAATAAATATTCAAATACTATGAATTATTTTTATTTTGAATAAATCGAGCTTTCATTCATTGAATATTGTTTGATAACACACTGCATAATATTTCGCAGTTTTTGTAACAACAAATAAATAATAAAGATAAACAATATGGTGCAATCCATTATGATGATGTTGCAATATTTTCAATGTCGAAGAAAAAGAGAAATATCACTCTTTGATCTGACTGAAAGAGAAAGAGTATTATAATAATCACCAACGGAATAAAAGATTAGTTGAATGATAGAAACATTCGATCTTAATGTTAGTATTCAATTCGTTAATAAAAAAAACCCAAACAATTGTAGTGGCAGTATTTTAATGAGTTGGATTCTAATAGAATCATAATATTTCCCAGTTTAAAATTAGCATTTACTCATGAAAATGTCGATCTATAATGATTGCAAAGATGTTTTAGCTGCATTACATCCTATGCCATTTATTCATTAGCGATCGGTCAGTTTTTCCACGCTAACTTCACTACTTTCCTCAGCATATGAATGAGAGAATCTCTATTATTCTTCATATTATTGCATTCACAGTAGATGCTGTTATTATTGCATATAAAAGGTTAACAATAAATAAGCGTTGAACAACTCTGCAACAAGATCAAATGTATTAGAACAAGCCATAAAACAGCTTTTATGATGACTTTGATTATCATACATATCAAATACTAATGACATATACATATCATATAGGAAAATTCAGTCAAATAATTATAACTGAGAAAAAAGTGTTAATGGTACTAATCCATTTAAGAGTTTTATATGCACTATGGATTCTAATTATCACCAAAATATAAGTTTCAACTGACTGCATCCATTAGAAGAGCTCCCTTGCAAGAGAATTTTAAAATATAGCCATACAATTATTCTAACTATAACAATGCTCTCTAATGGCTGCATATTCTATGAAAGTCATATATAACGAGCAATAAATAAAGAATGAGCCATTTTTATTAATAAATTTTCTGAGGTTTCATTTTACTTCTGAGTATTCGAAAAAAACGCTCATTTGATAAAGATTTGAATTCTATAGGAAAAAAACTTTGCTAACTTAAAGTTGCAAAGCTCAAGTCTTTTCATAGTAATATTCCATACATGCACAAATGTCGACTTGACATTCAAAAACAATTTTCTTCTATTTAAATTGTAGATTCACTAAGAATTTTAATATCATCAGAAAATTCTTCTCGAACTTTCGCATTTAGATAGGGATGTTTCACAAATTTATCTTTAGGATTTTTAGAAAACTTTTCGAATTTAACAAAAATGATATACTTGATGAAGCCATATTTATAGACTCATCTCTGACAATCTTCAGTTTTTAAAGTGTGGATCAATAAAAGTATGATATGTCCAGAGTTATCGTTCGACGTGCCTATGCAGAATTAAATTCAACATTTTTGCCTTGAAATTGAAAATTTGCGAGAGCACTCAAAAGCTCATGTTTCTTCCGAAAAACACAAAAACAGTCAGTTGAATTTCGAATTATGAGGGCATGTTAGTATCAAGACAGATTGAGGAACTTATAAGTTAGCTGTATTGATAGAGTACAAAATTCACTATATAATCATATAAAAATGTTCAGTATATTCATTTAAAGTGGGAACTTATAGTGTCTATGAGCAAGAGGAAAAGTAGATGGCAAAATTTTTAAATACATATTTGTATGTTTTGAATGTTGCTTTGATGAAGATTGAGCTCTAAACATTTAAATTTGCAGGCTTTTTATAGAATTAAATTGCCATAGAAATGACCGTGTTTTCAATCTGCCAGGAGGTACATAAGACAGGATAAAAAAATTATTAAAAACGTGGTTCATTCTTTATGCACCACTCGTTATGAAAATTGTTTCAATATCCAAGTGAAGAAATATGGCTCAGCTTCAAACAAAAGAGGCTGAAAATGGTAGGAACCTGAAAGAAAGAACCTTGCGGCTGACTTTGTTCGGTCTTCACCGAAACTAGAAAGATTTGGTTATCGAAACCAATCTTTGACCTAGGTAGCTTTGGAACCATTTTAAATTTTTCATTATATTTATCGAATACATAAACTTAGACAGATATAGAACGTATATATATTGAAGAATAATATTCAAATTCTCGAAAATTTATTGTATTCAATTAAAATTATCAGTTAGAAAGTATATTATTACAAAGCATGTTAACATCATTTCACTAAATTTATTTTCTACTCTCCACTACTGAAGCAAGAAAAATATGAATCGCTCACACATATCAAGTTGTTCTCCTTAATATCTCATTATAGAATTTATGCTAAATTAGGTTTGGACTTTTTTACTTTAATATTTAAGATAAGAACAAAATGAAGAAGAATAAACACAAATATTCTAACATTATTTTAACAAATGTTGTTCAATCGAGCATCTTTTTAATAATGATGTTCATAGAGTATACATTAAATTTTGAATCGTAATTTCGATAGTAATCTTAGATATATTTTTTTTATATCTGTTCAACTCTGTTTATTCCAAAAGTGTAAAAAAAAGCTACAACAAACCAGAGAAAACAATATTCGATTGGTTTTATCCATCTCTTTGTCATCTCTAGTGTTATACATGGAATGATTAAACTATAAGACAATCTATGTTGCTTTCAATAACAAATAAAAAGACAAAAAATTGAAATTTATTGATAGTCAACGACCGACTGTTTCATATATAAGTGTATTACATTTATGAAAGACAAAATTAGAATATGATGAAATCATTAAAAATTTAAAAACTAATTCGTATTGAATCATTCATTTCAGATTTTCGATTCATGCACTATATCAATTTTCAAGTGATTATAAGAAGAAACGTTGTGATTAATTGTCAAAAAATATCTTATGCTTAGCATGAATAAAAAATGAAAAATTTATAGAGAAAGAATCCATTACAGATGTGAAACAGAAAAACATAAAAATGACCTAAGACAAAGGATAGATAATTGAGTGGACTATCGATTGAAATATATGCGAAAGTTTATAGGAATAATATAAAGAGAAAAAGAAAGAAATACAACTATTAAAAATTAAGGAGAAAAACGAAGTATTTATATTTTAACGTCAATATAAATGATTCCGTCGTTGAAATCAATTTTTATTAAGTACAAATATTTTCTCAGGATGATGAATTGATAAAACTAATATTATTTAGAATTTAGTTACTCGATGTGCTCAATTATTCTAAAAAAATCATGGCGAAGAATTCTTTACTTTTCTAACCGAGAATCTGAATTTTTAAATATATTGTAAAAATTCTCTTACGAATCATCACCAAAACAATTACTGTGTCATGTAATCCTCTTGAAAATATCAGCTAATGCAATTTAATGCATCAATATCTAGATTCCTTTTTCAGCCCATTTTTAATTTTATAATCTTGATAATAGTCACTGCTTCATTCATACTAAAAGGAAAGTAAAACAAATTCAATGGATCTAAGAAAACTTGATTGTTAAATAATTCAATGATAGATCCAAACTGCAATACAAATATTGCTGATTTAGCAAATATTTAGATGGATGCTATAATACCATCACTCGTAATAAGTAATAAATAACATCATTATTACGTATTACGAATGAGTAGCAATTATTTTTCGAAATAATAAAATTAATAAAGTCATGCACAAATAGGATACTAGTATAAATACGTTTAATCATCAATTAGATTTTCTCTTCCAAACTAATACGTAATAATAATGTTAGTTTTCATTTTTCCAATATAGATTGATATCAATATTGCTGCATTATTGATAGAAAAACCTATCAAGAGGTGAATAGTGGAATTCGGATATCTATGAATCCCTTAAATTTCTAGAACTCTCTCGAATTCCATTAAATTCCCTTGAACTCTATAGAATCTTTTCGATTCCCTATTATTCCTCTGGTTTATCAGTAAGCTCCTTAGGATCTGCATCTATGTCCACCCTCATGTTGTATTTATTGTTTCGTTATGAATTTACTTCAATAATAATTTATTAATCATTATTATTTATTCCTTTATTACTAATAATAAGTAATATTTCGTTAGAAATCACTTATCACTAGTCATATGATAGAAATACTTAGGATATACCATTGTAGTAATCTTGACAGATTAAAGCCCACAAAACAGAATTAATCAAGTTTTTATTCTAGTCAATATTTCAGCTAGTAGCCCTGCTTAATTACGCATAATCAATTTATTTGAAGATATCTGTTGAATATATGTTTCAAATAATCTTTGGTTTAAAAGTTGCACATATATTGGTTATAGGATTCAGTTTAGCGATTAGCAACTATTTCGATCAATCAAATTTTGCTGGACATGACTAACTAAAGTAGTATGACGAATACATGCAATTATAGTAGATGATAAACCCTGGATACAATCACACATAAACTAGTTCATGTTCTTTGAATTAGAAAAACTGCAATGAAAAAACCTTCATCAATTATAATTTGAAGCAGTAATTTAGCGTCAGAACAATGTTTCGTGTCTTTTCTAAAAACAACTATTAAAATACTCTTTGAGAAATCTGACAAATATGGAAAGAAGGGAGGTCTCTAAAAACCAATCCTATATCAATAATTTTGCAAAACTACTTATTATTGAAATGAGAAAGCAAAAACCATCGGCTAGCGCTCAAGACAACGACAGTCATTTGACAACATTCAACTATATATTCATAAAGATTCTTTTACAGTACTGTATCAGAACGTATGATAATTATTTTATGCCCAACTTATTCTACAGATAAATTACTAAAGTTGTACGTTTCTTCTCCCCACAGAATAGAAGCTCACCCTATCCAAATGAATGCTAAATAGAAATATAAATCATCTAATAGATTAATTATATCATCTTTCGCTATTTAGTTGTAATTTATTTGTTGTATCTGATTTCGTTTATTCTACAAGTTTTCTATTAACGAACAAAGGAATATCTTTCTTCAGTCAAATAATATGTATGCATGGACACTAGAGAGAAATAGTTGTTTAGAAACTGGCGAATATGAAATAGACCTGCTTCAAAATCATTTTGCTGGACTTCCTTCTGTTATGAAATTATACACAGTTAGGAAAGTATGATATAATTACGAGATCTATGATTGAAAAACTTGTAAAGTGTGAACTACTGTCTCAATAGGCATCTTATCTTATGTGATGTCTTTTCTTTCTCAGTGTATTGCTATGCAATCAATTATACATAGTGTTCATAATCGTGTTACTATTACGTTCATCTATGCATGATTGGACCTTCTTCTCATTCTATATCGTTATTCACTCGTATATTATATGTATTGTTCTCATCTATCTATTCTTATGCTATGTCCTTACTCGATTGTTCTTCTATATCTGTTCTCTCCTTGGCCTCATCACTTGTTCATTCTTACATTGTTCTCTCCATGGCCTCATCTTCTTTCTTTGCATCATCGCTTATTCTACTCGTGTATATAAACATGTGATTTAAATGTAAACGGGACGATTGTATGATATGAGGGAATAGAATAAAGTGTATCACCATCAACGCTAACATCCCTTGTATCATTGATCGTCACAAGACGATTATATGATATGAAGGAATAGAATCACTAACCACACTCACATTCCTTCTATCATTTTTCGTTACAACTACCTATTGCATAAATAGGAGAAGTCGTGATTTGACAATAATTTTTTCAAGATAATTGAAATGTATCATCTTGCATTTTTGAACTGTGCATAAACTTTTAAGATGACATTACCTATCAGAACTGTATCAGTACATGGCTCATAGAAGTTGCTTCTCTATTCTTTTAAACTCTCATTTATTCGAATGTTGTGCATTTCTGTGCTTCGAAGTGAATCAAATTATAGATATATCATGAAAAAAAAGCTGACCACAATAAAAGCTCATCTTCAAACTTTTGACTTGCAAAATAAATTAGACGTCCAGTTGATTATTATTCTGTGGAAGGCTCATGTATTTTTCAGATGCTCGATCTAATTAATAAATTTCATCAATTCAACGACTTTTAATCATTACATTGAGTGCGATAATGAATACGATGAGTATTCTTTTAATCAAAAATGATTTGCAAAATATGTTCAACAAATATCTTCAAATAATTGAATTGTTCATGATTAAGCATGGTTACTAACTCAAATACTTGTTGAAGTAAAAACTTAATTAACTCTTCTGCGCCGCATTTTATCTGTCAAAACTACTACTTTTGATATATCCTAAGTAAAGATAGAGAAATTTTCCAGTAAACTGTGAATGAGATATAGATTAGATAAATCAGAACAAAAATTACGATGCAAGCATATAATAATACTATTTGCAAAAAAAATGAAGTAATGTGCTGATCATAGAACAAAAGTTTACAATTTTCATGCCAATGAATTTTTGTTTAAATTCAAAGAGCATTTCATTAATTTGATGTAAATTATCATGGATTTATAAAGTATGATGAAGTGCACTAATGGCTTTGATATTAGTATTTTTATTTCAATTACTTTAATATTTTATCTATTTTATTATAAATGAATTATAATCGAGATGAACACGTAAGTAAAAATAAATATATAAGATTTATGTCTAAAATTAATTGAGACGAAATTCTAAGAATATTTTAAAACAATAATAAACGAATTAATTATTTTATTTTTATTAGTCATATTCTTTTTTAAATAAATTATTTGTAGTTTTACTTTTATTTTAGTGACATCTTCACGTTGATTGATATGTTTTACATACACAGTACTGAGTGAGAGTGAGAGCGCGATGTTCGTAGTAGAAATGTGCCAAACATAGAATTCTTCTTTTTTACATCTCTCAAATATGATTACTTTGTCAACGTGTTGTCGTCAGGCACGGGGAAAAAAATTATTATTTTTTCATATCGGTTAAATATAATGATAAAAAAAACACTATTATTTTTTCTCTCGTTTTACTAACAAAATAAATTCTCCATTTTTTTGACAGAAACGAGAAAAGAGAAAAAGAAGAATAAAATATTGTTGTCAGTTTTTATGTATATAAATATGAACTTTTGGAAAGCCAAATGATGAAATAGAAGTTTTTCAAAGATGAAACCATTTAGCACTACAGTTCTCTATAAGTTCAACTTTTTTGAAACAGAAAAATAAAGTGTAAGTGTTATCCCTGCATCCATACGCTCAATGTTTGGTAGAATGAATATCCCTCGTGATAATGTCTTGGAAAAAGTATGTCGTATAAAAATATTTCTATTAGCACAGATGTTCTGTTATTTTTTAAATATCGTTTTAATGTGACTCAGATAGTTATCGAACGCAAATATATTATGCGTTGATAATTATATTGATTGTTTGCTTAGTGGCTATATTTGTATGTGAACTGAGCGCAACAAGAACGATAGAAACTTTTATTAAACGATTGCTAGTGGATTTTACATCATAGTTTGTCAACAATCAAGACCAAGTATTTTAAATGACTTTACAACATGAAACAATAACGAATGTATCAGTACTCTCATCCTCATTATGATATAACTGAGAATCTTTTATAGAGAGGACTGGTTTATTACCATTGCATATATCTTTTTTAAGTTTATGAGCGTAATCCACACTTTCTGTTCATAAACTTCGATAGAAATTTGTGACTCATTGCAAGTTAATATATTCTTGTACTGTCATTTGTATTCATAAAACCTTTTTGAGTATATGAGCCAATAAATCCTTAGGTACAGGGTTTGTTAGGTTCATATACCCAAAACTATATTATGAACATAGGAAACAGTACAAGAATATATGAATTGGAAACTAGGCACTAACCCTCATCAAGGTTTATGGACAGAAAGGATAGATTACGCTCATCAACTTAAAGAGGGTTTTTGTAATGATAAGAAAAAGGATTATGAAGTTTTATTATTCTAAATCTTTTTTTTTCTTACATTGCATGTAAATGTCATTTTTATCTCGAAATACTGTTAACGACGCGTTTATTCAAGTGTATTACCAAACATTGATATACCCTTGAAGGTTAAAAGAAAATAAGAAATTATATTGCTAGTAAAAGTATTTACTAGATACCTATTTAAAGTGTCAGTAAGACGACATTATAAGGTCTTGGAGATCTAAATGTTTTAAGGTCTCATTTTTTTTTTATCAAAATTTACATAATCAGAATTAATATTGTAAAACGATATTAACCATAACTATTAGTCAATGTAAGCAAGGTTTGTCGCAATAAATCAATTTATCTAAGAGCCAAGGTGAAAAAAATTCTTAAAACGACTAGGGTAGATCTTAAAAATCTATAGGATTCGTAAAATTAATTAGAGAATTGAAAACCATGCTGCTAATTTCACCTCAAATATGTTGGTTCATCTTATTAATGCTAAATACCAACTTTGATTTTTTAATATTGATGCATGAGATAATGATACATTCATTACTGATCGTATAGTGATGTTTATACATTGATTGAAGAGATGCAGTATAACCAAAAAAGAATTGCTGTCTACTTCTCTTAATCAAGTTTTAGAAATTGTATAAATATTCGTGATGATATGTATGTGATTAGATTGAATTTCGTATCTTGACAATCGATCTTACAAGTACATAAAACGATGTTATTTCAACATCTCGCTTCGTTTGTGTATATATTTACATAAATTTAAAACTTCGTATGAGTATCCATCTTTAATACGTTCATTGATTATATAAAGAAAAAAAATATGCGAAAAATCTAAAAGCATAAAAAGCAAGCATTGTTTGTTCTTCGTATTGTTGTTGTATATTAATGGGTCGTTGAAAATGGTATCGTCTTACTTTTTCACCAATGAAAGAAGTTCGACTAGAATAAGATAAAACAAAATCGATTTAAAACTATGAACACGAATACAGTGATACAGACTAGGAATCGGAAAAACGATGGTAGAATTCTTCTCAGCCGATATATTCGTTAGCGTTTGAAGATAGCGCAGTTGTAAGGCAATTGGACTTTGACTAATAATATCAGCTGCTTCCTATAAGCCAAAAACAAGAAGTTTTTAGATATAAATTCAGGCAAAAATCTTACTTTGAGAGATCGTGAGGCTTTCTGCTCACCTTCGGCAGCTATAATCTTTGCACGAGCTTCGCGTGCAGCTAGAAAGAAAATATGAATTTTATGTGGCTTCATATTCAAACATTCTGATTATACTGACCTTCAGCTTCGGCAGCCATACTACGCTGCATACTTACAGGAAGTCGAACATCCTTACTGAAAACAATGATTAAACATATATTGTAAGAATTTACGACACTTACATCTCTACTCGTTCAACTTTAACACCCCAAGGATCTGTTCCTTCATCGAGATGTGTTTGCATCGAATGCGAAATATTCTCGCGATCACTCAAAATTTCTTGCAATGTTTTCGTACCTCTACATAGATCAACAAACTTGAATGTTTTTATAATATTATAAATTTATTACTCACAAAATGTTGCGCAATGTTGTAGCAGCTAATAGTTGTGTTGAAACACGTGAATTTTCAACATTAGTTACGCTAATAACCGGATTGAAAATTCGAAAATACACTACAGCATCAACTGATACAGTCTAAAAAAAGAAGGAAAGAAATTTGCAAAAGCATTTCATTCATCTCAAATAGCTGACCACAGAATCACGTGTCAGAATCTCTTGAGGTGGCACATCGAACGTAACTAGAAAATAAACAATGAGAATACTTTTTACGTTTCTTAGAACTCTCGATAAATATCAATTCTACTAACCAGTTCTTAAGTCGATTTTCATTATCGTATCAACACAAGGTAAAATAAAAAATAGACCGGGACCCTTGGCACCACCTGTCCGATTTCAAAAGCATTATTCAAACATAATTATTTTATAATCGGATCTTACCGGAAATAATTCGGCCGAGACGCATGATGACTGCGCGCTCATACTCTTGTACAACCTAGACAAAAATTTCCGCTGATTAGGAAGAAAGAAAGAAGCTTCCTTAGACCACTTTAAGCCAACTGACCTTGATGGTGACACATAGTGAAAATGGAAATGTCAGTATGCAGACGATATAGGAAAGAATCACTAAAACCCATCCGCAGGCACCGATGCCCTCTTCCGAATCGCGAATATCGCCTAGTGAGTAAGAGAAAAGGAACAAAGTAATAAAAAACAATTGGATTAGTTAATCTTTTGTTTTTCTGTCATAAAGCAAGTCGTGAAGCAAAAAACGAAATGTAAGTGGATGCAATATCGAAGTTTTGTTTTTTTTTTAATATTGCTACTAAAAGTGCTAACAAATGAGCGAGAACAACTAGGCAGCCGTCAAAAATAAGCATTTTAAAAGAAGGAAGGACAAAAGAACGTATGTTTTCTTTTTACCTTGACGATTCGTCGGATGACCTGCTCGTATGACTTGTATCGGACCTGCTGCAATAGTCAAATAATAAATACAATACCGAAAACGAATGATATTATAGATTGTAATAAGTTACCTTCTACACGGCTACTACTACCAATTCCATGTTCATGTTTTGTTGACATAACACTTAATTGTATAGCTGAAATAAATTTATTTGATCTCTACAAAAACATAAATATATTCATCAATTCAAAAGTTCCATATTGATTTAATGAATGTTCATTCGAGCATTCTTCGTTGAAAAGAAAAAATGTTTTGAATTTTATCATCGTCTCATTTTTTTCTTTTATATTCTTACAATCATTTTCTTTCTTACGTTTTCTCCTTCATCGTGATTTTTTTTTCTCATCACTACATCGCTTGACGTCAATGCCATGAAAAGCATGTAGGACGAGAGAGAGAGAACGTCGCAATAAAACGCTGTCGAATACGTGCTCATACAATGAAGTAATGACGTGAATACTAGAAAAAATCGCCCAATTTTTACTCATCGTTTGATAAAATAGAATGAATGAGTAATGTTCCCGTTTGTCATCTGACAATGTGTGATTTTACATACTAAAATTTCCGGCAGCGTTCGACTTGCCACTGTGCTATTGCGCCATCTACAAAAGATAATTCAATGGGCAGAAGATACAAACGAGGTTAAAAAAAAATGGAATGTTCTTTTCAGTTGTCAACTATTGCTGAAAAAACGCTAATGAGAGTAAAAGAAGAAAACTAGGAACGATATTCTTTTATGCGTCTTTCAATGACTATTAACGGAGAGAATCCGGTTCTTCATAAGAAGCGTGAGAAAATAAAGCATCATGTTTTTTTTGATTAATAGATAGAAATTCAAAAGTTATCTTGAAAAACTTGACAACAGCTTTCCAACAAATATCATTTTCCGATACAAAGCAGGTGACAAATTAGAAATTCAGCGACGCATGATAGTCAACTGTCCTCGAGTGATTTTGTAATTCGTGTTTCGCAAATGTTGATACATACAAATTGATAGATTAGTGGAAAGAAATCTTATGATTGTTTATTCATCGATGTTGACTTTTTACAACCATGCTTCTGCTTATTTCTTTACTCAAATAGTACAGTTAATAGTTGAATGCACTCATCAGAATTACATGTCGCAATAAAGAATAGTTATGAGTTCATGAATGAAATCTTTTTGGATGTTAAGAACACCTTCTTACAAATACTAATAATGAAAGCCATATTTTGTAGACAGATCGTTTGCACGATGCTACTCTCACATTAGAGCGTGATTGAAGTATGTGAAAAATAGTCTGTTGACGATCATGTAAAACTACCCATGTCATTAAAATCACAGGAAAATGAGTGATTTTATCACAATTTATAAGGCCAACTGATTGTGAGATTATATCGCTATTGATCTACGACGTTTTTAAAAAACCAATGAATGAATAGCAATAGTTAATGTTTCATGAAAGAAGGTCTAAGGAGTTACGGCAAAGATACGCTAGGATTTTAAGAGATTGCCTTAAAGGAATCTCGGACGAAAATTATGATTATTGAAAGTTTTTATATACGTCGTTGTTAATTCTTGTATTAGCAACAGCTTCTCATAAGTGAGAGGACTCCATTGTTTTCCTCTCTCCCTAACTATAAAAATTTAGTTCGTTTTTTTTTTTCATTTATACTTATCGATGAAACTATAGTTGATATTAATTGAAATATAACAAAAATGTAATTCATGTTGTAAAATCATACTTACTATTCAAATTTATGTTGCAATTATTTAAAAAAAAGAAAAAATATACTTTATTTTATAATTTAATACTTACGAATGAGTCTGTTACTGCAAGTAATCTAAATAAAAAAGATCATAATTTAACTTATGAAATAAAACTTAGGGATGAAATTTTTGTTGAAATGAGTCTCATTAAGAAACAAAATAATATACTTCTGAGAATAGTAGTTATCGTTGAAATTGTTCTTGACAGTGATCTAAATAATAATCATACAATTTCTTAAAATAATATACTTACCATTGAACTTATTATGGATAAAATTATTTCTCTGATGAAATATGATAGATTATACAAAAACTGAATAATCCAACAGTAAATAATCAGTTCGAAGTTTCTATCAAATACCATGCTACGCAAATTACTGAAAATATTTTTTAAGCTAAAACTATCAAAATTTGGTTAGTTTTGTTTTCAAACATGAAAAATTACGAACTATGTTTAAGTATAACGATTCTTATGCCATAAGTTTTCAAGTATCGTGATAAATCGCTGGCTTTTTTTCGCTCAAATCGTGAATAAGTATCAAAGCGTGCACAAATATTTTCATGACATGATTACGTACCTATGTGTTTTCGTTTCCTGCAGTTAATACACATCATGTTGAATTAAGCAAATCTTTGTATATTGAAAGAAGTGTATGGGATTCACTAAGTGCTGACTCTCTGTTTAAATAATCCTTTCAATATTTACATAGTTCTCACTATTACTAGAAACTTAAGAGAGGGTATGAACATAGAATAAAATTTTTTTTCTTTGCAAGAATTGTGGGAACAAAATCTATGTGGGTTCTTATTCTGGCCTTTATTGAAAGAGGATTTTATTAATCGTAAAAAGAGAACAAAAGGATTCGGTTAAGAGCATATTCGTTATCTTGCTCGGATGTGTTACAAGGTATTAGTAATGATATTTACACTATCAAATCTATACGTAGGTATTAAGAAAGCACCCATGAGGCTACTGTCTACATAGGCATACGAAAAATTTTATAGTCTTGTCTTTCTATTATGAAACAAAACATTACAAATAACAATCTATAAATATAATTCACCAGCATTTTCTACCTTATTGTTCAATAGTTATAACACTGACCATATTAATAAATAACAATAAACTATACAAAGTCTTGTAATTTTTCAATCTCACGATGTTTGTTCGAGATGTTTGCTAGTATACCTCAGTTAATCTTCTATCATAATAACTCAAATGAGAGAATAAAGTATATGCTCTATCAATATTTACATATTTAGCTGCTTTTTCGAACAATTTCGAAGTTGGTAAGTTTATCGACCTGAATTCAAGAGTAATAGTTTTAAGAAATGTTTTTCATTGTATTTTGATTAAAAAAGTCTCACAAGAGAGAGTCATGAGCAAACTGATAGTAGACTATTCAAGCATAAAGAAAACTGAGACGATTCGTATATAACTCTTTGCAAAGAAAAGATGTACTTGACATATAATTCTTTGACTTAGAATGATCCTCTGAGGCAATTTTTCGCTTTATTTTTTACTGTTTTACAAAATAATTCGATATGAAATCAAAGCTAACTAGAAAGTGAATATCTCCAATATAATAAAAGTTGATGATTATAAGACTTAATCTGAATATTGAAAAGAAATCTTGCTCAATAATGAACATAGTCTTAATGGTATCAAATTTATTGACTAGCGAACTTAAAGAAATATACTTCACCGTTATTTAAATCGATTAGATGCAATAATTCTGTAGTGCTGCAGGAATTTTGAAGAACTTATTAGATAGTCGATAGTACCGACAAATTTTTTCTGAGACATATTTGACGTTTTGAATGTGAGAATCATATTGACATCACTGAAAAATGGTCTCTCTTAAAAGAAGTTGAAATATATACAATGAATAATTTTTTTGTCTTTTACTAATCAACAGTGAAAAATAACTTCTGATTTGGAATATTATAAGTTGGAGATAAGATTGAATTTGCAGTTTGCATGTATCATCAGTATTTTCATCTCCTAAAAATAAAAAATAGGAGTAGTTATTTTGCTAGGACAAGAATATTGATTTTACGGTAGAAACAGCATATAATTTCTAATTTTGATCATTTATCTCTCATTTATTATATTCGTTCTTCAGGCGATCAATCTGGTTCTTGAGTGAATAGTTTTCTTTGCTCAAAGTAAAACAATACATCATTGATGAAGTGGACTTCTGTTAGAACCATTTGTTGATGAATTTGATATGATAGTTGAAACATTTTTTAAGATGTGACGGATCAATAATTAACATGTTCAAGTTTATTTTTGTTTATATTAGCTGTATAATCTATAATCGATCGCCAGCTGCATTTCAATTTCAACAAAGAAACTAATAGTGCTTTTGATTCCAGACTATTGTGGCTTGCGCAGCTTGTCACTGAACACTTCATTTTGCGTTAATGGGCAAGTCAGTACAGAAAGATACTGAGTAGACTTCGCAGCAGTAATAAATTTTATACTGTTTGTACAATCATAATTTGCGCCTATGTGTATTGTCGGATTTTGCTTTTAATACTGCAGCTATTCTATCACATGTGCCTTTTCTGATTGTGGCTCGAAAAAGACTGTGCGACGAATAAAAGTTCTTGAATTTTGATTACGGTGTTGGACAACAAAAAATTTTAATGCATCCTGGTACATTCGCCGTTAACAGGTGCCGAGTAAACTATCTGTGGCTTATAATTTTTCATTTTTGTGTCACTTAAAGATTTTTTTCTAACACACTAATTACCGTTGGCTCATCTTGAGTACATTGATCAAACATGTGGCAAAACGTACGATGTTTCGAACACATACTTTAATCATTTCATCAAAACCAAGAAGAATAATGACTTTTAATAGACCACCTTGTGTATACCTAATTATATTGTATGATAGGTTTTGTCAATTTTGAGTTATGATAACAATGAGAAGAAGTACTGATCATTTTATTAGAGTACTCTAAAAAAAGCATGAAAATTTCTTATTCATATTTATCTTTACTTGTAGGGTGTTTTTGAGAAAAACATAAATGCGTAATATACACAAAATTTGGTTGTTCGGTGAAAAGTTACATTCTCAATCTTACGTATAGTGCCGAGGCGACTCACAATACTAAATAGAACTAGATTAATAAAATTTTACATACCTGATATTACTCTTAGTGTGTTCCATTAATAAATCACAAATTTGTCGATATAGATGAATATTTTAAAGGAATAACCTGAGTCAAATGCCACGACAGACCTTTTTTACCGAACCAAGTTGTTTGTGTTTCTGGTTCCCTTGTTGATAATCACTTCATGATTCAGTCAACTATTAAAAATATACCATTCTCATTGATATCATGAAGAACTAATTCCATAGACTTGTCATAATGCACTGATCGAAGTTGCTGCTCTTTCATCTACTTTTAAAGAAAAAGATAGATATCATTCAAAGACGATTCAAGGAGAACACAATCCGAACACCTATAACAGGATAACAACATATAGATAAGAAGAATGTTTTCAATTGAAAATTACTTCTTGTCATGCTCATGAGTACTTTCCGCTTTCCAAGAATGATTTCTTAGGCTTCGATTGTTAAAGAATATCGAGAACAATGGACTAGCATGACAAGCATGAAAGATGTACATTTTGTCGGATGATTTGAAAGCATTATGTGATTAATGTAATGCTTTTTTTTAGTTTGGCAATCTTTTTTATGAAATGCCTGTAAGTCAATGACATATTAAGAATTCTAATGAGTAATTCACTTACCAAAACAAATTTATTTTTCTCAAAGTTTAGATAAGTTGTCAAAAGCACTTGACATGTTAGATAGTATGTTGCTAATATCAGTTGACCACTTTTGTGAGAAGATATGTTAATGACTATGGATCAAAAATCAGATTGAATTACACATTGGTTAAAAGATAGTATTTTTGGTTTCAAAGCACGATACCTTGCCTTGTTCGATAATTTGGCGGGTGATAAAATTATGCGTTGCATTAGAAATTTCCTGTTTCTTGATTGAATGTGTTAATGTTTTTATGCCATATAAAACATAAAATGATATAGAAAATGAGAGCATAAAATCAATAAAGTGTTCGATTTGGTGATCAAAAAATTGTTACGATAAGTATAAACAGGATTCCTACATCCTTTAACACAAAACTTCAGTAGCAAGCATTGCTCAAAGAAAACCAGAAATCTTACCAACATAATAGTATTCCTTTTGGCAGCTTTCATTCTGTTGCAAAGACCAATGACTAGTTCTACTTCATGCATCACTTAAGACATCTGTAGATACTTTGAAGTTACTTGAACATGGTGAAATTAAAAGTATTCAGATCTAAATAAATATAGAGCGCACTCATGCTTAACAGCACAATCATTTTCGATTTTTCTATTTATTTATCAATAAGTCTGTTCTCTGCATCTTGAATCGTTGGATATCAGAGTTTTAATAACATCATGAGGCAATTTCGTCAAACCACAGGACAAATTGTTGTTTTTGAAACAAGGGAATGAAAATCAAAGCCAAGTTAACCTTCATAGAACAAACTATGTATGACCGAATTTTTTCAAGTTTTTCTATTTGTTTAAGAATGAGATGTATTCCATTCTTTTGATAAATCCATAATATCAACTTAATGAGGAGAAGTAGATGTGGTTGTTTGGATGTGAAAAAAGTTGTAATCATATATTCACACTAGTAGAATTAAAGATTTAGTGGCATTTTTCAGCAACTTTAGATACTCACCAAATTGTAAACAATCTTCCTTTCCGTTATCTTTTTGGCTCCATCACCTAATTCTATTCTATAATAATTGTAATTCAAAGTATTGTGCTTTCTTCTACAAACACTACTCCAAATGACTAATGATAAGATTTTTGCAATTAATCGCAATCCATCATGATGTAATGAGACAGACTTTGTTTTTAATTAACCATATACATTAGAATATTTCGTTTCCTTTCTGATTAACCAAAAGCGATAGTGCTCCGAACAAATGTAATGCTGTTGTAAATGTCGTGATTTTATACTAAAATGTCTAGTAATGAATAGAAAATGTTCAAGATCAAAACTACATGATCAAAAACGAAAACTTGTTTAGTCTAGTGGTGGGTCAAAATTAGTACGGTGGCTTTTACAAAGAATCTCAAAAATAATCACTGGATGCAATAATAAATGGTTTGTGTCACGCATTACTTCCAGCCGTTTGGAGCTGAGAATATGCGAAAACTCTACATCATTTCAATTTTTATCTATCATATGCTAATTGAAATTGTTAGACGATGATCGAACGATACTAATTCAACAAAAAATAACGTAGTAACCACTTGCGAAAACACTAGTGACTTACATGTAAATACTAATGATTATCAGCTAGTTCTTGTTCCCAAAAAAGCATATAAGACGTTTTACTTCGGAGTGTCATTAGATGCTTTCTTCAAGAAGAACTATCACTTTCTGCATCATGCTTTTATGGATGCATGCGATTAACTACTTTGGCTGTAAAAGAAAGTTATTTTATTTAACTAATCAAAAAAGAACATGTAAAGTATGCATATATATAAAGTGAAACAGAGACAAAGAATGTGAAACGTTCAAACAGAGAAAAATGAAAGGACACGGCAAGAGAGTGAAAAAGAACGAATAAAAAGGCATGCCACGACACAACAATTTAAAGAAACTATTACAAAGGCAACTGACAGAGTAAGATCTATCGAAAACAGAAGTAATGGGAGAGATGTGGGAGCGAGAGAAAAAGAGAAGAGAATAGACAAAAAAAAGCAGTATTTCTCTCTACTATTACCCTATTCCATAGACGACTGACAACAGATGGTTCTGGAACAGAAACTATGCATGGTGTCTCAAGATACATGTATTAGATGACCCTTCACGATGAACCAACTGTTAAGCTTCTTAAACATAACGATGGAATGAAGTAACAAAAACGAGATTTCTCATGTTTTCATATATGCCTGAGCTCTTTAATGTTCGTTTTATATTGAAAAATCAAATTATCTAATCTATTGAAATAACGGTGAAGTATATTTATTTAAGTTCGCTAGTCAATAAATTTGATACCATTAAGACTATGTTCATTATTGAGCAAGATTTCTTTTCAATATTCAGATTAAGTCTTATAATCATCAACTTTTATTATATTGGAGATATTCACTTTCTAGTTAGCTTTGATTTCATATCGAATTATTTTGTAAAACAGCAAAAATAAAGCGAAAAATTGCCTCAGAGGACCATTCTAAGTCAAAGAATTATATGTCAAGTACATCTTTTCTTTGTAAAGAGTTATATACGAATCGTCTCAGTTTTCTTTATGCTTGAATAGTCTACTATCAGTTTTCTCATGACTCTCTATTGTGAGACTTTTTTAATCAAAATACAATGAAAAACATTTCTTAATACTATTACACTTGAATTCAGGTCGATAAACTTACCAACTTCGAAGTTGTTCGAGAAAGCAGCTGAATATATAAATATTGATAGAGCATATACTTTATTCTCTCATTTGAGTTATTATGATAGAAGATTGACTGAGGTATACTAGCAAACATCTCGAACAAACACCGTAAGATTGAAAAATTACAAGACTTTGTATAGTTTATTGTTATTTATTAACATAGTCAGCGTCATAACTTTTGAACAAAAAGGTAGAAAACGCTAATAAATTGAATTTATAGATTGTTATTTATAATGCTTTGTTTCATAATAGAAAGACAAGACTATAAAATGTTTCATATGTCTATGTAGATCATAGCCTCATAGGTGGTGTCTGATTTTGAATTCACACAAAAATTAAAGAAAACTGGATATTTCGTATAATATATAAATTTTTAAAACATTTCGAAGTCATTTCATTGTTGTTAATTTATTTCAAAAAAAAATACTATATAAGAAAAAAGAAAAAAAAGTTTGCTTATACTCGTATATAATTCATGACATTTGGCCTCGATAGATGCTTGCCATGAACGTCATATATTCATCATAACTAACTCGTCCATCTTGATTATAGTCCATTTTTGCTAAAACACGTTGAACTTCAAAATCACTAACAGGAATGCCAGAACGTAGAAGAGATTGACGCAACTCACTACCAGTTATATAACCATTATGATTTGTATCAATTTGATGAAATGCTGCTTGAATTTCAAACAATTGATCGGCATCAAGACCATAAATATTTGTTCCATCACCAACGCGAAACATCAGTTTTTTTAAGTAGTATTTTCGTATCTTTACAGTGTAGTATTTGTATTAGCTTGTCTATACGATATTGTAAATGCGTAATATACAAACACCTTAGTCATTTATATAATGATTCATAAAAAGGGAAAGAAAACATTTACCTATCTTATATCGACATATAGCGTCATCGTAATTTATCGAATTTAATTTATTTCTTATATCAATAATTGTCAAGGGATATTTCTTGTGTATTTCTCGTTCTGTTTGTTATAATTTGTCGCCATTAAGTTTACCATATCTTACCATCAATAGAGTAAAATTTGATTGATTAAATAACTGTGAAACAATATAATGAATATATGTTTATTCCAACAAACAGACAAAATAATTTTTTCTACGGATTCTATCTATTCTTTGATCTTTTCCAATTGAAAATATCAAAAGAAAAAGAAAAAAAAATGGCATTAGTTTTTGGTTGTTACATTACTTTAAACAAAATAAATTATTGTTAATCTATAAATATTATTAAATCTTTGTGATTCATGGTAAAAAGCTCAATTGACGCTATTCAAGGATTGCATTGATCGTATGATTTGTTTTTGACATCTATATTGACTACTATTTCTCGTTTTTTGTTATTTTCTTGTGAAATTGGAATTAAACAATCATACTTCCAATTGCTTAGTTAGTTATTCTGATGTATGAATTCCCTTTTTGACAGTCTTTTGTCAATATTAATCATTCACCATTATCATATATTCTCGCGTTTTTCTTACTTAGTCATACAAGTTTCTAGTGACAAAAAACGCTGCATAACTCATGCATTTTTTCCTTCAATAAACAAAAAACAAACAACGTGATTGATAATGCTCCATCACTAAAATAGATAATTTCATATCATAGGCATAGAAAACCTTGATGCTTCATTACATACACATGTCTGCGTCAATAAAAAAAAATGTAATGAGTGAAGTAAAAAACGGGTACAAACAACCAATAGGAATAAACAAAAAACAAAAAAATATTTCGAGGTAAAATAAAGTCGAAAGTAAATTTTCCAAGTTCACCATCTTTTTTTTTCACTCATTGGCTGATAAACTTATGATCAAATCATTTCTAATCACTGTTATCTGATTCAGTTTAACGAAAAAAATATAGAATTATTTTTTTTGTATACTTTATTTGAATTGCAAATGGAAAGAAAATCAGTATGCAATCACTTTCACTTTCCTATAAACCACGAGTAAATGTTAAGAATACATGTTTTGTACAAAAAAAACACTATAATTCAAGCTTTTTAAATATGCAAACAAAACAAAGTCGATAAAAATCGTTGATTAATATATAATTCATTGTCAATATCTTGAATGACATAAGAAAAAAATATACTATTTAAAAGAAATATCATGAGATATTTAAAAGCTTTTTATTATGTATGACAATCGAAAAAAAAAGCCAATGGTGCCTAATTATTAGTAATATCCTATACTATTCTATGATGACAACATTAAGAAATTAAATAAGAGAAAGCGAAGAATAACAAGCAATTATCTTCTTCTATTATCTATGTATAACAAGGATACGTCTAGTTTTGATATCATGATTAAAAAAATACTATTATAGCATGATCTTAACAGTTAAGATTGATGGTAGTTTAATTATGATTGGTATAGTTCGCTGAAGTTGAAGTAAATTTAAATTAAGTTTATACAGTATACACATGATATATGTTTGATAGTTATAAATAGTATAGGTTCATAGTAATAGACGTATTGCAATTAGCCTCAATATATTCGACCTTGTTTGGGATTTTTCATTGTCGACAGTATCAACTTCGAGCATATATCAATAGCCGTATCTCCTGTTGAAATAATAATACAAATCTACTCTTTCATTTGCTAATACCAAATAGTGAAGTCAATCGAAGCAGATTAAAGTATTTCTGTGAAACTGATAGGTCAATGTCTTTATAGAGAAAATTTAATATAAAAGTTCAAAAAATCCAGACGAATGTATAATGGTGTCATTTATTAGTATAACAAGAAATTATGTTGGATGACAGAATTTTTTAATTTTCGATATACGTTTGTTCAATAGTGAAGCGTATCAATGGTCGATGTCTGCCTTCAAATTCATATAGCCTATGATAAATCAAAAATCATACAAGATTCATACATTAATACAAGAGAATAATGATATTGACTGAACTTTCTATTGATATAATATTGAATAGATTGTTGTCAAAGTTTCATTTACAAAAACGTCTGTTGTATGATTTATTTATGATATTTTTATCTGTTTTGATTCAGTAAATCAGTTTCAATTAAATTCAATCTCTACAATAGTATTACAATATTAACTTACGTATGTAAAATACTTAATGAATGCAACTGATGCTTTTAGAATTCTCTTTATCGATACGATGCTGATACAAATTTTTGTATTGATTATTAGAGATTTATTTATGTTCAAACAATCTTTTACTTCATTAGTAAACTTTTAGTCTTCTATAAAAAGCCAAATTAAGCAACCTTTATTATATTAACATATTGCCGAACTGCGTTTCTGTGAATTGTACTATTTAGTTTCAACGATGATCACTTTGCGAACCATTTCACAATATAAAGAATTAAATGAATCAATAATAGCGAAATTTATACTGTCAATATGTAATATAATCACTAATGTAATCATACTAATTGTTACTATATAAATGTATAACGATTTGAATGAGTAGTTTCATCGGAATAATAGAATTCCTCGAAACATAAATTACTTCAACTTTTATTACAAACTAATGAATTTGATTGATATAGAACACGGTATTACAACTTGGTTACTCAAACAGCAACAAGCATAGATAATACTATACATACATGAAAATAAAACTCAATTTATCTATTCTGAGAAACTTACTATTCAAACATAAAATCGACAATAGTAATTCACATGTTTTTACTTCTGTATAAAGAACGTGAGACATTTATTCGATTTTTTGAAGATAGAAAGCGAATTTAAAATTCATCGCAAATTTTAATTAATTAACTTTTCTCGCCTCATTTTAAACAACAATTGATTCTTGGTACTGAGTAAAAAAAAAACTACTACAAACAATCCTTGCAGTACAACTCATTTTTTTAATATATTCTTTCAAGGCTTTGAAGTGTAACTAAATCACATCGTCTTAGGTTCTCAGATTATAGTTATAAGAAAGCTTTTTTTTTAATGTATAAATAGGACTAAAGAGAAATAAATCTATTGAGGATATCTATAGTTTGTTAAAACATTTTTAGAAAATCATGTAAATAATCAAATTGCGCAACAGTTGATGTATATGTGACTTGTATTTACCCAAAAATGCATGCTAGAAAATATCAATAATGCTACCTTGCTTAATGACGTATACTAACATAAACATAGAGATTTCCCGCATTGAAATTCGATTGAGTATGGAAAACAATCACACTGTCAGTATGAAACCTGTTGATTTATCTCCTAATTATTTACTCTGTTTCTTGTCTCATTTCGAATTATATCAATTAATGTAGTTTTCTTGAAAAAGAGAAGTATTTTGTCATCTGACGAACCATCGTTTTTTTTTATCATCACCAACCATTTACTGCTGCAACTCGAAGAAGAAGAAGAAGAAGAATATTAACAATAGAAAATTGATTATTAATGCTTGATTAGATAAAATTTTGGTAGACAGGTAAAAACATTGTTAGATAGATTCCTTTGACTTATTATAGATGTTTATGAATAGATGTTGAGAATAAATAGACGGTAGGTCAAATGATTATTTATGTTGTTTCTAATTTAGAACAAATGTTTAAAAACAAATTCATTTATTCATATGGTTCTGTATTTAATACAAAAAAAAAGGAACGGTTAATTTTCTTTTTGTTTCCAGCAACAACAAATCAATGAAAAATTAGCTTAAGATTCTTTCTTTGAACTCTACTTCATATGATATTTATCATATCTGATCTTCCAGAGTTGTTTTTCCATAAATACAGATTTAAATCACTACTTGTAATATCACATGCAAAAAAACTTAGATTGATTGTTTGTTTTTCATGTCAATGACATGTTTCATTCTAAAAGAGTAAGTATTCATCGTTCAATACATATTCTTTAACTATAAACATAATATCTTCACGTTCATTAATCTTCATTGTCTTCAATCGTATACTGTATATGATAACATCTGCCAGTGACATTTTATACGATCGTCATACTTTTATATAAATGAAGGAATGTCAGAGGTGATTTACTTTTTTCTTCATGACAATAGTTACTGATGTTTCGATGATATTTCTGTGTATCACGATAATGCTCGAGTACTGAGCAATGACTATTTTCAAATGAAATCTCTCTCTTCTTGGATAAGATCTATATTGAAAAGAAATCGCATAAGAACTTCAGATTACATGAGAAATATATGTCCTCTTATATGTTAGTGGTGCTGCTAGCACTTGTCATGAAGTCACGGATATATTGATCAAATTAATCAACAATGTATAATGATTATTGGACAAGTCTATACAGTAACATTTTGGCTAAAATCAGACTCCATCGGAAGATTTCACGTAATGACTAGAGTTATGATTTCTTGTAATTTATTCAAAAACACTGAAAATAGTAAATAAAACTAGTTTTTCTATTGATAGAAATACTAAATGAGATACATAATACGTTGTCCTATTCAATACTAACTACTTGGCTAGTAATCTTGATTTTTCGTAGATTAACTCTAATTCTAGTTTTGTTGATGATTGTAGAATATATTGCTAAACAATTTTATATACTTATATTTAAAACGTTTGTCATAGTTGTCGCTATAATATGCTGATATTTATCTTTGATATATGATTGGTTATTTGATCAGCTTAAGTTTTTTAGCTTGCCAAGTCATCATCTACTATTGGTGTAATAAAGAAAGGAGAACGAATTTTTGGTTATAGACAATTTTTATTTCTTCTAGATTCATTTCATTTGATAATAGAAAAACAAAATCCAAC